AGAGCTAACCGAACGTCAGAGGGAGAAGGACCAAGTGTTTAGGAGGGGTTGTAGAAAGAGAAAGAACGCAAAAATGCAAAGCAACGGAAACTTTTTCTGAGAAGAGACTTTTCTGCTCTACCTGTAATTTCCTTCCTCCTGCATCAAGCCCCTGTGCGACATTTCTATTTATAGAGGCTTTTATCATTGCCATGACGACGAATTAGCCCAAGTTTCTTTTAGATGATGGATACTGCCTATGGCTGAAACTTACCTAAGAGGATCCTCTTACTGCAAACCTTCCAGCTCGCACAAACAACACTCATTACAGCTCAAAATCCATATTGTGACTTATTTTATAATACATTTCTAAAGAAATAATGTGCAATTAAGGCTGGAATACACTACATGACTTTGTTGCCAAAACTTGCCGTTGCAGTTGACCAGTTTCACAGAAAATCCATGTATAACAAGTAGACTGATTTTTTAGCTTCATGAAATCAAACAATATGAATGAATCAATGTTTGCCGGCATTTACTTATACACTAAAAGGCTCAATGCACAGATCCGATCTTTTGACATATCTGATTTTTGTCTCACCTACTTCCATTCACTTAAAGGGTTCGTTCACCCAAAAATGAAAATTAGCCCATAAAATTACTCACCCTCAAGTCATCCTAGGTGTATATGACTTTCTTCTTTCAGACGAATCCAGTCGGAGTTATGTTAAAAATTGTCTTTGATCTTTCAAGCCGTTTCATGGCACTCAGCGGGTGTTGCATGCATCGGTACAAAAGCAGTTAAATAAAACGCGTCCATCCCTAAAAAAAAAAAAGTGTCTCACACGGCTCCGGGGGGTGAATAAAGGCCTTCTGTAGCGAATCGATGCGTTTTTGTAAGAAAAATATCCATATTCAAAAACGTAATAATCACGTGCGCTCACTGTTGTAACACTGGAAGTAGTTCCGGGTGGATGACGTATGAGGTCAGTGCTGTGCATGCGCCAGTGAGTCTCGTGAAAACCAACGTTTGTTAACAGGAGCAAAGGAAGCCAAGTTTCCTTACTTTAGCAAAGGAAAACCAGTCTCCTCTTGGCTTATATCGAAATCCTCCGACATTCTTCTTTACAAATCCTCGTTTTGTACTTCTAATGGTGTTGCATGCATCGGTACAAAAGCAGTTAAATAAAACGCGTCCATCCCTAAAAAAAAAAAAGTGTCTCACACGGCTCCGGGGGGTGAATAAAGGCCTTCTGTAGCGAATCGATGCGTTTTTGTAAGAAAAATATCCATATTCAAAAACGTAATAATCACGTGCGCTCACTGTTGTAACACTGGAAGTAGTTCCGGGTGGATGACGTATGAGGTCAGTGCTGTGCATGCGCCAGTGAGTCTCGTGAAAACCAACGTTTGTTAACAGGAGCAAAGGAAGCAAAATGTCCTTACTTTAGCAAAGGAAAACCAAGAAAAGTTTCCTCTTGGCTTATAATCGAAATCCTCCGACATTCTTCTTTACAGATCCTCGTTTTGTACTTCTAATTCTTGACCGTTGTTTTGTTCTCTCCCCTTCGCTTCCGCATGCATGGGCATGCGCAAAGCCGACCTCCATACGTCATACGCCCAGAACTGCTTCCATGTACAACAGTGAGCGCAAGCTAGATTAAAGTGATTATTAAGTTTTGAATACGGATATTTTTCTTACAAAAACGCATTGATTCGCTACAGAAGGCCTTTGTTCACCCCCCGGAGCCGTGTGAGACACTTATTTTTTATGGATGGGCGCATTTTAATTAAGTGCTTTTGGACTGATGCATGCAACACCCGCTGAGTGCCATGAAACAGCTTGAAATATCAAAGACAATTTTTTTTATATTACTCCAACTGGATTTGTCTGAAAGAAGAAAGTCATATACATCTAGGATGACTTGAGGGTGAGTAATTTATGGGCTAATTTAAATTTTGGGGTGAACTAACCCTTTAAGACATGGCCTGTATACAGTATCCGCATTTACTTTCATTTCTGCCCAAGCTAGAATGATTCCATTGGTGATGGCTTTCAACAACATGGGAGACCCTCGGGTTTTGAAATTTTATATAATTTACATCGGGTGGTTCTTTGACTTTAATGCACACCAGATGTGATTATGCCAATTATACAATGATCTGTTATCAGCATGGACTATTTAAAGCCATCGTTTACTGTAAGTTTGCAGCAAAAACATTTGACTGAAAGGATAAAAAAAAAAAAAAAAAATTATTTTACCTACAGGTCATTAGATTGAGAATTCTGAGTAGAGCAGTAAAATTACATTTATTTGAATTAATTACATTTCAAAAACAGTGACAAACACCAAAAATGTTTGTTTTGGGGTTGTTGTTTTTTTCAATAGAGAAACCATTTAAAAAATTTTACAGAGAGCAGCGTCTCAAAACAAGTTTCTGTGCTCCTGATTGTTTCTGTGTGCAACCTCTTACATAAGGAATAATGTATATTCAGCCATTTGTTATCACAGAATAAACCCTGACAGAGGGATCACCCTGAAGCGGTGATCAGGGTTGTATCACCCTGAAGGGGTTCATTTTGCTAAATGTACATTATCCCACTTATTACAGTACAAGGCTATTTCCTGCATAAGTAAATAATTGGACACAAAATATTGATTGAAGTTGAAATATTTCATTAGCTCCCAAAACAAAAATCGTACGGGAAGAAAAACGGTTCCTAGCAAGTGTCTTTTAGCTAAGACGAATGAACAAACACTAGACAAACATTTAACGGATACAGTACCACATACACATACCACTTATTACTCAACTTTTCAGTACATAAATAATTATAAGGACATAAGATAATGATTTGAGATTAAACTCTTTTACAATCTCACCTGTTTATTATTTTATAATCCATTACAGTGTTCAAAACAATTGTCCTGGCAATAAGATGAACACAGCAACAGTTTTACAGTACTATTAATACTGAAGTTACTGAAATTAATAGTATAGTTAAAACTATAACAGGACACAAGATGGCAGCAGCTGTGTTTGTATGAAATGAGAGAGCGAGTCTGTGATGTGATACAAGAGACATGAAAGAATTGGCGACTTAAGATACCCGGATGAGCGGTATGTTATTCAGCATTGCTACTGAATGCTTTAAAAATAAAGGTGACTTGACTACTGACGACGGTTGTTATCAGCAGGGTTGCCAGGTTTTCACAACAAAACTAGCCCAATGGCGTTTCGAGGGGAGTCCCCCAGTAAAAGTTGTGTTCAGGGGGTAAAATACATGTTTTTTGGCGAGGTTCCCCTGGTAAAATTTGCATTGCAGGGGCTAAATATCACGTTAATGGGGTCGCTTGAAAACCACAGACTTGGCAACACTGGCCTTTCTGAGATGTCTTACTCCCTGATAACCAGTCATGACAATTAGAAATCAAATCAAGCATTCTAGAGAGATGTGTAATAAATCTATTTAAAGTTTTCACCTAAATAAAAGGAAAATACATAATACGACAAAATATGAAAAATCAAGAAAAGTTATCTTTGTGGGTAAATGTCGCCGTCATATCAGATGTACAGATACGTCTAGATATCAGATGGGTATCTGATTTAGACATTTTTGTGTGTGCAAATCTGAGTTGGTGGGGTTTTTTTTTGTGCTATAGTGTAACAGCAGCCTTTGATATTTTGGGCCGATTTTAGAACAGATACTCTTTTCATATGTCATGTGTCCCCTAGCAACGAGGTGTAAGTTTGTTCAAAACAACCTGCAAATCTGTAGTATGTAATTCTTAGTCATTTAGAGTATGAGCCCAGTTTTGTACCCATTTACAATATTGGTGTATGACGCCTATTGTTTTACAACCTGTTAAGATTTTTAAAGTCGTGTAGTGTATTCCAGCCTTTAGCTCAATATATTATCTAGGAAGGCCCTCTAGAGTGCAGAAGAACTGTAAGAAAGCAGCTCTGCTTTTCTCTCGCCAAAGAGAAGCACTGAAAGAAATCGCCATGACAGGATCGGCCGCTCAGACACAGAACCCCCGCAGAGCACCGGGGAGAGAGTCCATCACCCTGAGCACTTCTTCAATACCGACCCACTGAGCCCAGAACTGCAAGAAACAAGAACCCGTTGAGAGAAGCTGCAAAGTTTAAGCCTGTATTGTGTGAAATGCCCCAAAAACTCGGCCTTGCTAAATTACGACGGACGGCCATTTTGTGCCACTGTCCACACGGAGTCTGGGTGGTACTGCGAAATGAACAAAGAGGTAGGGAAGTTCGTAGCGGAATGGAAGTCAAACATGTTAAATCAAGGATTGGGGTGGAAGAATTTGTTTATGATTAACCACAATGCATCTGTGCAGCGCTTTGATGACAGTGAAAGCTTTTATAACCCTGTTTGGATGAGGTATTTGCCTTTGTATGTGTAAAGGCTGAGATAGAGATGTAAAAAGCTAATTTCACCTGGCTTTTACTGGATTTCAAGTGCTTTGGAGAGCAGATAAATTATTTTTGTTTAGTATTTTCATCTCTGAGTGGAAGCTAAGAATAAGCAAATACAGAAATGCTACAGTGACACCTGCTGGTGTGTCTCTGTATTTTCAAAAATGTTTGTTTTAACGTTACAATGTCCATCTTTGAACATACAAGTCTCACCTCTGTGACAGGAATGTCGTCTCTGAGCAGTGGGAGGCCATCAGTCCAATCACTCGCATCACTTTGCTCCTTCTAAAACACAAATTTGAACAATTAAATGGCTCTCATGCAGCTGTTTGTTTTATTAAAGCTATTCTGTTTTGTTAAAATCTGATATTAAAGATAATGACATTTCAAACTTCTGATAACAATGACAAACTTCTTATAAAAAAAATGTTTTTGAAAAACATACCTAAACCAAACTTTTAAACAGTATTGTATATAATTGAATACAGAAATGCTACAGTGACACCTGCTGGTGTGTCTCTGTATTTTCAAAAATGTTTGTTTTAAGTTACAATGTCCATCTTTGAACATACAAGTCTCACCTCTGTGACAGGAATGTCGTCTCTGAGCAGTGGGAGGCCATCAGTCCAATCACTCGCATCACTTTGCTCCTTCTAAAACACAAATTTGAACAATTAAATGGCTCTCATGCAGCTGTTTGTTTTATTAAAGCTATTCTGTTTTGTTAAAATCTGATATTAAAGATAATGACATTTCAAACTTCTGATAACAATGACAAACTTCTTATAAAAAAAATGTTTTTGAAAAACATACCTAAACCAAACTTTTAAACAGTATTGTATATAATTATACCACCGCTGCAACACACACCCTGTGGTAAATTCACTAACACACAACCTCCTGTGGCATTCTGCTTTATTTTACTATGTTTTGCAATACTGTCTAACCACACCACATCTCAGTCTTAAATGAGCAGTGTTTAATGCTGGTTTTCAGTGTCATTTAAAACTAAAATGGTTCTGTCCGTTGCTTGGTGACTGTAGTGCGGAGATAGAGGCTGTAATCCTGTGAGGGGCCAGTGAGACACATGCCTATCATTCCTTCCACTCAGAGCCAAAGGGACTGAGAGGAGAGAGAGACAGGCGCTGCATTTCTCTGAGCAGACATTCCAAGACCGGCGCAATTTGTGTCATCCGAGAATACTACACTATAGTTCTGATCCAGTAAAAGTGTGAAGCAAATTTTTACTATAATGGTACATTATACAATTGGACAGCTAATATATTTTATCGATTAAGTGAAATCAAAAGAAAATGACAAAAATCACTATCAAACAATAAAATAATTATACAGAAGAATTGTAAAACATACATATCCCAGTTCGGAGCATGTCACATCTGTTGAACCAGCACAGGGAACTATGTTAAAAAGAGAGGGAGAAAAAAAAAAAAAAAGTTTCACATTGTAAGATTTTCAGTATATATTCATATTTCATTAAATCAGCCTCTTTTTGGACTCTTAACAACACAATTTCATATATGTCACAGGTCAGGACAATCCCTAGTAAAGAGTTTGGTGAGTGTTTGTGTGCCGTTATGCAATCAGTGTTGTCATCACTTCAAGAAATTATTTTCTGACTCCAAAATAATTGGTCATATGGCATTTACGGATCAGGTGCCTGGCTCCAGAAAAAAAATAAATATATATATATATATATATATATATATATATATATATATATATATATATA